CCAAGGCTATCTGGTAAGAAAAAGCACTTAACGTAAGTGCTAAATGCCACATGTACATACAACACTGCGGTGACAGATAGTCACTCCTTGTTCCAGCACCAAGGTTAGCAATAAATGTCAATGGCTTCTGGTGCCAACTCCGGCATTTAGACCAAGATAACAGGAAGGAGGTCAAGAAGGAATGAAAAAGACACTACAAACAAGTGACAGAGACAGAAAGGCTAAATCAAATCAGTTACACAACAGACAAAACCAAGCAATGTCAAACAAACCTTCATGTCTTCAACAACCTCGGGTACAGGAGCAACATCATGGTGTCTAGAAAAATAATAACATAATGACATATGATGCTTCATTTCTAAAGCCATTTTAATCTAAAATGCTACAATGAAGTGCATCTGGTCCTCAGACAGAGCAGAGGTCATCTGCCTTTATTTATCTGCCCACACAAACAGCATTTTGAGCATATAAACCCAAAAATGATGTCTAGGCAGGTAGCTCGCTAGATTTTGAGTGAATATGGGGAGGGAGCATATTCAGGAGACTGAGCCTCACCTGTGGGATCTGGATTCCCGACACACCACGCAGATCGGCTTCCTGTCCGTGTGGCAGTACAGTTTGAGCTCCTCGTGGTGTCGCTCACATTTCCCGTCCATTTTCACGGGTTTTGCGGGTGCAGAGGGCCTACACGTCTTCAGATAGTCGAAGTCGCTCAGTTTATCCACTAAGTTCTTTACCAGGTAATTCTTGGTGAAACTCATTTTCGCGAACACCTGCAAAAAAGGACAAAGTTGCATGTACGACGCAGAAAAGTATCGGTGCTGTGTATTGACAAAAGGCTCGTGCGGCGATTTGTATGTTATGATACAATAAACGAGGTCGGAGAAATCACACCTATTATTGTCAACACAGTAAAGTCCGGTTGTTATTTAGACTGCCGGTTTAGGTCCTAGTGCATGATTTAGATGCGGATGTAACGTTATAGAAATCCGTTAAGTTCATTCGAGCAGCTGTAACTAAGCAACCCAGAATCTAGCAACATTTATCAAAACAAACCACGCACCATCCTGCACTCCGGACACTGGTAACCCACATCATCGCCACCATTTTCCTCCCAGTGCATCAAAATGCACATGCGGCAAAAATTGTGGCCGCATTTTAAAATTACAGGGTCGTCGAAATAATCGAGGCAAATAGAACAGACTAATTCCTTCTGAAGCTCTACTCTCGAATCTCCGGCAGTAGCCATGTTTCCCAAAGCAACAGTGTAACAGGGCCAGAAGTAACTCTAGGCGGAAGAGAGAGAGCCCATTCTGGACTCACTTCCTGGTCCAGTCACGTGAGGGCTTGTGGTGAATCTGATTGGTTACGTTATCTAGCTTGCAGAGAAAAGTTCTCGAATCGGTTCTTTTGAGCAGTTCGTTTCAAAGAATCCCACCCTTCCTAAACATTCATTTGTTTGTTTTTTCTGTCTTGGATTTGATCTGAGTCTGATGTTTCGAGCTTTTCTTCTTCTTCTTTCTAATGAACTTTATTGAACGATATAAACTACCACAAATGGCCTGGTACAAAAGCAAAATGTCTTAATCAGACAACAGACAAGCATCATAGCATAAGATAAGAGGAAAACAATTACTAGGGGTTTTCAGCAAGTTTAAGATTTTCTATTAAATTACAGAGGTTTAAGGCATTCTTTTTCATTTGTTTCAGCGACAAAAATAATGACATTGTTCTTTGTGAAATATGTAGAAATTTGGAAGTATTTTCAGGAATCTGTTCGTATGCAAAAAGAACTTCCCAAGAATAATGATTGTTAATTGCTAAATCACGTATATTTCAAAAATAAACCGAATAATACATTTTCCTTTGTTAAAACAGGGAAATCTTCAAATTTAGGAAATAACCAGTAATGCAGATCTTCCCAAAAGGCACAAGCAAATTTACAATCATAAAAAAAGATGTTCTGTAGTTTCAGTTTGATCATCACAAAAGGAACAGTTGTTAACATAAAGACCAAATCGACATCTCAAAAATTCTCTAGAAGGATATACTCCGTTAAGAATTTTAAAATGGACTTCCTTTGCTTTTGGTGCAACTGGAAAATTCAAATATTTTGTTCTTAAAGTTTTTAACTTCATCTTTAGAGAAATATTGGAATGCTGAATTTTTATTTGAAGAAAGAATATGATTCACTTAACAAAGACATTCCGGATTACAGTATTGGGTAAATTTAGGTTAGTAAGAGAAACTCCATTCACCAAAAGCTTGATGTTTTGAGCTTCCCATGTTAGTTTCTTGTTGCAAATTGACTGCTATTGTATTGATATTTTGTATTCAAACGCCATTATGTGGCGTACATATTGCGTTTTAATACAGTTCTATCAAATAAAGTGCTTTTATTATGTTTACTGTGGTGAACGGCACATTCCAGGGCCCCCTCTCTGAACACAACAGTGGACAAAGGATTGCTACATTTTGATTGGATCTTGGTGAACTAACACAAACTGTCCCACGCCATCAGATAGAGATACTAGGACAACAGCCAGACTCCTCTTAGAGGGCAAGAAGTAGACCTCTGCTACCAAGCCTGGGAAAGACAGAACTTCTCATTGGTCCACATGCAGTTTCTGCCTTTCACCCATTTAGAGACTAATTCCTAAGGTTTTGGCCTGTGACCACCATAAAAATTCCTTAGGTCCTCTGGATGTAGCAGCAATGGGTGAAACAGAGACATCGGAAAGATCCATCCAAATCCATTCATAACTATGTTTTCAAACCTCAAAACTGATGCAAACTAGCCTACATCACATCCATTTTACACTTACTCAGAGAAATAAGTATTCTCACTCAGTGACAGATGTGAGATGTGTAGTGCAACATCTTACACAAATTTAGCAGCTGACGGACATATGAATGCATGCTTGACAGTTCAATCCTTTTCCATCGTGCTTGGACTTGATGCATTCAGAACATTACCAAAGGTATTCTGGTAGTGGTTTGGAAAATGAGAAATGCATTGATAAATCCATTAAAAAAAAAAACTTTAAAGACACTTTAGTGACTGTGTGTGCCCCCTCTGAAACCAGCAGCCAATCACAGCACTGAAATGGAAAAGCACCAAATTGTAATCTCTTCCCCTTCAGAAAGGGATAAATGTACCCTTCCAACAGACACAACGTCTGAGTCTCCCGTGAGACAATACACAGCGTTCTGAGTCTCCCATCCAGAGAGGCAGTAACAGATGCACCACGCTCTGAGTCTCCAGCTTTTGAGGCAGCAACAGATTCAAACACATTTGGAGTTTTAAGCCTGTGAGGAAAGAGACATCAACAGATACAATACTTTCAAAGTCTTCGTCCAGCGAGACAACAACAGATGCAGCATGTCCGGAGTCTCCATCCTAGAGAGACTAAAGCAGACTGACCAAATTTGTCTCTGGCCTAGAGAACCTTCACTTCAAGATACTTTCTTCAGCGTGTTCCAGATTTTAGGACCCTTCGGTGCTCCAGGAGATCAGCATCCTACAGCGCTTCATGTTCAACGGATTCAAGACTCATTCGACCACAGGAAAGGTAAATATTTCACAACTATGAATTAACTACAACTGAACAAACACATTTTTAGCACAGTTATAAGACGTTCAAATATTTAAAGTCTCAAGACTTTGTTTATTTTGTGCTTCAAGGCCCAGTACATAAAATGCATTTAGCATTGTAAATATTTAGGAGTGAACCATGTACAAAAAACACAATATCTCACCATAAATACCATTTCAAACAAAGATTATTTCATTGTGCCCAAAATGTCGTGCTCATGTTTCGTAACCTGCGAATATGGAAACAATCCAGTGATTTTATTGCATAGCACATTTCTTTTGAAATATTATCAGCCTGATGAGGAATATATTTGTCAGGAGGTGAAATGGATTTGACAATAGGATGCTGGTTTTTCATGGATGCATAAACAGTTTGATGTGTCTAATGACAGTGAAGACAACAAAAATGTTATAGCTGATACATCAGTGTCAGTGGAGTGAATCTGGTTTGGAAAAAAAAAACAACTCCAAAAGACAGTCAAACACAAATTTCCTGTGTCAGTTTTTCCCTTATTTTAAAACGACACTCAGTGAGATAATACTGCGATATTTAATACATGCAGTTCTCATGAATACTAATGCTTAAATTATAACAAGTAATAAAAACAGCAGCAACAAGATGAAATTTGACAACATTTGACAGACTGAATGTAAACTTTGTGACAACAACTATTTAATGGTGATATGAAATGCATATTCAGCATTTCTCCATTAAAAGCTTGGCACTTGCTGTTAAAAACCAGCATATCTGTGATATGCTATAATACAAGCAAATATTTAACACTTGAGATAAATAAAGGTGAAACACACAATACAGGTGTCAGTGTCGTGATCAGCTCATTTGAATGCACCACATGACCCATAAGAAAATACTTAAACATTCTTAAACTTACTTTTCCTTTCAGAATCTTATCATCTTTATAAATGATATAATCTCTCTTTCATCTGGTGTTACCCAGTGTTCAAAGTGACAGGGCCAATGAGATTGAGATTTTTTTTTTTTTATTAAACTTTCAGACACTTTGTATGGAATGTGCTATGAAAAACTAATTCAAAGGTAAAAAAAAAAAGTTAGGGTAACAACAATAATAATTATGATTATTAAATAATAATAATAACAACAATTTTTAATGAAAAAGACCTAAAAAACTTATTATTATCAATTATTATTACTTGGAAAAAAAAAACTCTATTATTATTATTTCTTACATGAAAAGTTATTTTTTAAAAACCTTTTTTTCTTCTAATGAGTGGTCCTTCTTGATTTTATTGTTATTATTACTTTTATTATTACTATTACCACTATTATTCTAGTTAATATTTTATTTTGGATAAAAAAAATTAATTTTGGAATTCTGGAATTTAATGCAACTAAAATGGAACCAAATGAGATCTTGTTTCTGTCAATATATCCACTGGCATAAAAGAATATTAAAATGATTAATATTTAAAGGATACATTTTTCTTTCTTTCTTTTCTCACATTCTAGTCTACTTCCAAAAAAGTGGGTAGGGCACTATTGGGACCCCTGAGAACTCTGAACACTGGGTAAACCTTAATCCATTATTAGACAAGCAAAAATTCAGAGTTACAACATAAAACGTAATTTAAAATGATTTCTTTGGGCTGGTGATGAACTGGGTCGCGAGTTCTCCGTAAAATAAAACCTGTCAGAGGCACTTGTTTAAAACAAACAAAACAAATTGATCCCATGTATGACAAAGGAGAACAGTAGGATCTCCGAGTAGTCCATTAGTCCTTCAGACCTCTGAGCTGTCACCATTATCAAGGCTACTTCTAACTATAACAGGCTGCAGGCTGGACGAGACTCTTGGGGCCTTTTTCACGGGCATCCACCTTGAGTGAACCATCAGTGCCAACACTATAACCACGAGGACGGTGAGAAGCAGTCCCACGATGGCTCCTGCCACAGTCACAGCGTCCTCTTCCGCACCTCGTCCACTGAGCTCCCGTGGAGACAGTCCGTCTGCGAACAGCTCCTCCCCAGACGCAGAGCGCCGACGGCTGCGGTCCAGAGCGATGTGCATGATATTCGTTCCTCGGTTGTTCTCGGGTCCGATCTCCTCCGCCAGGACCGGGACTTCTCTGTTGGACCGTCTGGAGCGTCCTCTGGCCTCCGCTGGTACAAGGTCACCTGATGTTATTGAGTGGTACTCTACACTTCGCTTGCCAATGCCACGCTTGGCGTTGTCTTTTGAACGCACAGTGTAGATGGTGTGAATGAACCACTCCCTTCCTACTGCCACCTAAAGACCAGAAGGATAATAGAGGATTTGAGCAAGGTTGACTTTGTAAATGACAGGAATCCAGTACAGGATGTCACACTGTATATAGTTCTACAGTACCATAACTAATAAACCTTCAAAAAGATTAGACCTGGAAAAGAGGAGTAGAATCCAATCTGAATCCGTCAGATCCTGGCTGCTTCACCAGAGAGAGGGCAGAGGGGTCATCTACAGCCAGCAGGGCCTTGAAACTCACGTCCCCAAAACTCTTGGCCTGGGTCTCTGGCTGGGCTTTGTCCTAGAGGCAAGGTGGAGTCATGAGACTTTTTTCAGACAAATGTTACTGAAAATGTCTTAACAGACCACTTTATGTTTCATAAAATAACACATTTCAATTATTATTATTATTAACATACAATTTATTTAAATTGTATAATGTATAATTTATTATAAAATGAAAGACAAATATAAAAACGTGCATGTATTTTATTTGAAAGACTTGTATACAGTGTTATTTTAGTATTATTTATATAGTTTTATATACTAATAATTCGAATGAGCATTTTAGTAATTTTGTTATGTTTGTCATTTTATTAGTTTGTGTCTGTCTTTTTATATTTCTATTTAGCTTTCATTTATATTTATTTCAGTTTTAATTTTAGTACTTCATTTAGTTGCCAAGCTTTCAAGTTTTTCCATTTTTAATTAGTTAAATTAGTTTTAGTTAACACTAACAACACTGCTAACATACTCACAATAATTTTGAATCTGTACAGCACAGATGGAGAGTCTGCAAGGCATCCAAACTCAGACTTGGCGGGGTTGTATTTAGGAACATATCCATCAGCGCCGGTGCACAGATACACCTTCTCAATGTTACAGTAGAAAGAGCCACCCAAGTTCTGCACAGGGTCCACCATCACCCGTCCATAGATTGTGTCACCTTGAAGAGAACAAGCTCAGTGTCAGCATAACACAGAACAGGAAATGTAAATCACAAGAATGGCAGATCATTTGACTTATTCAATCCCACAGCCTCTTGAACTGATTAAGTTAGGTGTTCCAGTTAGACGTACCCTCAGAGAAAGCCGCATCACTCTCTTGACTGAAGCCCATAGATCCATCTGACAACCACAACGCCTTCTTAGACAACAAGAACATCTGTGTGTTCAGACTGAACTCCACCGCGACAGGGTCACTCACCTACAGAAAGCAAACACAATAATACTTCTTTACAAGAGCCTCAGGTTGAACTGATAAGATATATCACAAATACATATTTCATTCTGATATACAAGCAACTGATTAATTATAAAATTATACAAAAATATATATTATTTATAACACACACACACACACACACACAATAGAGCCTGTTTGCATTTTTCTAATTTAATACACTTTTTTCTATTATAAATTCTATCATCAACAAGTAGAATGAACATTTGAAATAAAAAGCTTGAATCTGAACATTTATTTCACTTTTGCTTTAAATGACAGAATTGTTTTTTTTAGTTTACCTGCTGAAAGCGGATATCAAGATCAAAAGTAACTGGCTCTCTAGGGTTGCAGACCGGAGGAACAGTGTACTCCACATTCAGCGCTGCTGTACAGGGGATCAGCTTCACTGTGTATGTGCCTGAATAATCTCGAACCTGCAGGTCACAGACACACAGGCATACAAGTTGAACATCACATTCATTGTTTTACATTAGTTTTTCTCAAATGGTTTTGCTTTAGCACACAGCTTTTACATTGGCCGTCATTTGGCGACTCAACACCGCCAGAACTGTTTATCACAAAAAGTAATGTTCTTAAAACCACAAAGTGGGGAAAGAGAGATCAACTCACTGCAAAGTCTGAAATGAACATCCATTGCTGGACAGGCTGGCTGTAGGTCAGCTCAGTCCTAACCAGAGTGAGGTTGAAGGTCAAGCCTGGGTGGTCTGCACTCAATACAATGGACTTCACAGGGGATGCTGGGTAATCAGGTAAGATAGCAAGATAGCAAGTTAATTTAATCAAATCAAGGCGTTTGTTCTATAAACCATTTAAGAAGAGATATGATATTTAGATTTTACCTGCAGTCTTCTGACCCCTCAAATTCGCTGCTGGAAATAAGGCAAAAAGTTAATTACAGTGTAAATTTTGACAGCAAATTTTGATTTAGTTTTAGTCATAGTCTTTTGACTAAAATGCCATTTAGTTTTAGTCATATTTTATTCACCTGAATTGTTTTTAGTTTTAGTCTAGTTTTAGTTGACTAAATATCATAAGATTTTAGTCAACTAAATCTACAGTAAATTTAGTCGGCTAAAATCTAATGGGTTTAGTTACAGTGTAATGCATTTATTAAGCATTTCTCCAAAATGTCCAAACTCATTATATAGTTTTGATATTAAGGGTTTATCATGATAGACACCAATTTAACTGCTATGACACACAATATGCCTTTATGTTCAAATTAAATAAAACCACTTCTCATAAAGAACAAGAACATGGTCTTTTTTTTAATGAAATACCAGTGGTTATATAGGCTAATTATGCATTCTTTATAGCAACTTGTTTACTATATTCTTTATTCTTTCAAGCAGCCATTTATTTCTATAAATACATTTAGATTAATCTTTAGGGCTACTAAAGTTTTTCAGTCAAGAGCAGTGAGTGATTTTTTGTCTTTCTTTTGTTGCTTGATTAACATCAATGACTCGGACAATAGCAACTAAATTAGGCTGCTGTCCCTTTAAAACCGAATGCACGGATGCAATGTACTGATACACGTTCCCCTACTGTTATCAAGAAGTAATCAACTGTGTTTACGTGAATACTCGTCAAAACGGACAATTCAACATCATTTTGTGTGTAACGTTAATCCTCCGTTCATGCGACGCGAAAGAGTACTCGCGCGCTGTGAGACGCGCTTTCTGTGTGTGTATGCTTCAGTCTCTGCGCTCAGAAAACTGGACCGAATTGAGTTCTCTCTTGC